CCTGACTGAACCCAGCACACCAAGTTAGATGAGTTTAACACGGGGGTGTGACATCATCTGAGTCACTTGGCCATTGCTGGTGGGCACAGCGCATCCAGAAAGTTGCAATCAGTGAGTAACCACCAGGCTCTCCACCGCCTGCAGCTGCTGACACAATACAACACTGGATGGCCTAACACTGTCACAGCGTGGCTCTCTGTCCCCACTCTGTTAGTACAGCTCTTGTTGAGCCCAACTCCTCACCTCTTGGGGTTTTGACTTTGACATTGCAACTTATCAGTGGTTTGCAAAACCAGTGTCACAGGCCCTGAATTTCATCCTGCCCTTTGCTAACATTTTGCCAGGCCCACAGCACATTTCATTACAACTCAGCCCAGTGATGGCTAATTAATCTTACAAACTTACATCGTGACTCTCAGCTGTCAGGGTGCTTTTAAGTACATGAAAAAACCCCAAAGCCAAGGCAATGTAGGCCAGAATGTTTTCCCATTACATAAGCAGAAACACAGATCAAGAGAGGATAAAGAACTGATTCCAAATCTCCAAGTGCATCACTGGCTGAAGAAGGAACACAGAGCGGGAATTATTTCCTAGTATCCACCTCTAATAATCGAGTCTGCACCACAGATTAGCTATGGGACAACAGTAATACCATCCAAAAAAAGCTACAGCTTGTAACTGGCCTGCCTGAACGTGCAGTGTGCAGGACACAACTGAAGAGTCCAACAAGAATTACTGAAAGCACTTTTCAGTGACCAACTAGGACTGGATTCCTTCGATTCCTATCACAGAAGTATTTATTACTAAAAATGTGAATTTTACAATTCAGTGGAAACCCCACTACAAACCTGCAGCAGTGGAAGTAATTTTGTTGAAACGTTACTGTGTCACCAAGTACATCACTGCCTACAGAGAAATATTTTTCTAACACCAAAATTCATTTAGGCATGAGCACTGGATTATACCTAAGAATGCTGCAATCACACCCAATCTTATTAAATATAAAAAGGAGAGGCACAAAGTTAGTTACTCCAACAGATCAAGTGTTCAAGGCAGGTAAGGTTTTGGCCAAGCTGTGCACTAAATTACATTTCACTCGTGATGTTTTGGTGATATAAAGCTAATTCTATAGGTAAAGACTGTGCTCTTTACACTATCCACTGCTGCAGCTAGGCTGCAGGAGTCTACAGAGCTGAACGGCATGTCAGAGTGCCCGTGTGCAGCCTACCCATATATCTGTCTGTGGGCACTTCCCAGCCACTGGTGGGGCTGCTCCCAGGTAACACAAGTTTGCCAGTGCATCCCACTTTCTGCTGGAGTTTCGACCTCTCAGTAAAAAAGAGAATTAGTCAGGGGTAAAAGACAGGATCAGCATGCATGACTGATTTAGGCCTTGTACCTCTTGGGTGAGAGAAACAAGCTGGTGGCCCAACAAGTAACAACTCTGAGCTCTACGCAAACAGAACTGAAACTGAATTCAGGGTATACAGGCTCTATTCAACCTCTGAGCCACAACAGCTTCCATAAAAGGCAATTCTGAACTGGATTTAAATGATTAGTGTATAGCAGAATGATTTTATGGGGACACTTGCAATCCCTAAAGTCATTAAGCTTCCAGAAAAGTCCATTTAATATAATATTCCATATATAAGTAGGGAAAAAAATGCCTATTTTTCCCCCACAAATTCCATAGGCTACAGAATTTCTGAACTATGGTACTTTTGAGACTCAAAATCTTCAGAACACATCTTGTTAAATAACGTCTTTCCACTTTTCCCAAATTGAGCGTTGCTAGGAGGTACCCTCCTCCGGCAGAAGTTCTGGGGCTTGGGACACCTCTCTCATGCTACTCAGCCTTCAACAGTTACACTTCCTTTGTGGTTCAGGACACTGCAGCCTACTGCCATGGAAATTTCAAACAAAATGCTGAGAGACAGGCCGATGGGCCAACAGGCTGGAAGACAGAGAGAGCGAACACGAACAAAACATCAACAGGTCACTTGGAAGGTTCTTAATCCTTCCAAAACAGCGTGGGAAATGACATCATACAATCTGGAGCTGCTGAGCAAGCAGGTTGTGTGGGTGAATTTCACCGCATTCACACAGAAACCAACAATATGCCTAAATTCTCACTTAAGAAGTACTGAATCTAAGTGTTTGTGTAAGTAACTACTTCAGTAATTGATATTACCGTATCTGTGCAACAAAACCCTATGACTGTGTACACTACAATCTCCACGTAAAGCTGCACAGAGTAAGTCACACAGAACAACTCAGGGTTTTGTCCAAAGCTACAGTGACCCAAAAGCATGACTCTGAACTCCTGAGCGCTCATCTTCTTTTGCCAATGTTTAGCCACTAAATCGTGCTCCTCTCAGTCAAGCCACTCATAATGCTTGTTTTACCAAGCTCTCCACATTCCAGTAGGATCTGTTCCTGATCACAAATGAAATGCTGATAGAAAAATCTAGATGAAACTAGAGGATAGAGGGAATTTTTGTCTCACAATCCCTGCAAAATATTTCTCTGCAGATGGTAAGAAAACTGTAAACATGTACATACTTCTGGGTTTGGCTGCATTGTTATCCTGGAGTACGTGTAAGGAAGTTCCCCATACCAGGAAGTAAGCCGTGGTTCTTCAAACGATACTCCTGAAAAACAAAACCAGGAAGACTTTCTCAGCTGCCTTATCAAAGGACTTGAAAATGGGAAGATGGTGCAATTCTGTCAGGAAACTCGATCAGAAAGGGACTGTCCACTCACCTAAAGTTAAAAAGCAGCCCCTTAAAATCCTCAGCCTTACATTTTGAACTCAAGTGAAGGAACACGATTATGCAAAAGCAGGCCTGTCTCTGCAAGAGGAATTACCCTGCCAAAATCCTGGAACCACATCAATTTTCTCATCCCTATGCCAGACAGGGCAGGGACTGGACAAGTTAAAGACAGAAAAATGAAACTGAAAGTTTATTTGTAATTCCAGTCTGTTTTATGTCCCCCTGGTTCCAGTGCCCAATGCAGGGGCATAAGTAGCAAGATGCATCCACTGGAAAGGATGGGGTGGAAAGGCCTGCAGCATCAATCGGACATTAGATTTAGCAGAATGTCGCAAGGCTGGAGGAGGATGATTTTGGCAAGCGTGCGTGCTCTGTGGTGTCACACAAACATCCAAGTTAAAAGCTCTTTCAACTTCTGAAAAGACTAGCCTGCTAGCTATTTCTCATGCTTGATAGGTGACACTCTCCATTATATGCTACCCTTGTTGCATTTAACAGACACAGATGTTGAAGACATTTTCCAGCCCTGTCCAGTAACTACTCCAATACATTTGCTTACATCTGTTCCTGACTGAAATTTAGCTGGGAACGGTGCCCCTTAGTGAACAAATCCGGAATAGCAGTCTCTTACTGCATACTGGAACTAATAAGCAAAGACAAGGTAAAAGAAACATGCTCTTCTGGGATTTTAAGTGAGAGAGGCAAAAAGTATTGCTGGTGACAAAAACCTCAAAGGACACAGTTTTTGCAGCATCACTGGGAGAGAGTACAAAGGGACAGAGCACACACGTGACCTAAAAAAAAACAGTGGGAAAAAGAACTGGAGATGACAGAGGAGGCAGTATAATTCACATATTTTTAAAACAGGCAATTTTCATTTGGAAAGATCTCATTTAACTGGCAACAGGAACATGGTGATAGAGGTTGAAAAATACACAGTGGTACTCTTCAGATATGCACTGAAACCTGGATTGGTATGGAAATGACCTGGGAATGACCTGAAAAGTTGGTCTACACACTCCTCACCCTGTCTGATGTGAGTTCGCTGACCCCAGGGTATGTCTTGGAGGAGTTGTTCAAACATCCAGTCTGCTTGTTCTGAGTCGATAAAGCCAGGAATCAGGTGAATCCTAAGGAAGAAAAATAGAAAGATCGAAGGAATAGGCAGTTCTGTATATGCTTTGACAAAATATTCTGATTTCCAGGATTCCGTAAGGAGCTAAGAATGGCTGTAATGCATCAGACCAAAAGTCAAAGTGCAGTATCCTATTTCTGACCACAGCCAAAAGCAGATGTGAAGGAAACGACAGAAGGCAGCAGGAGTTCCTGGTGAGTCCTCCCCTCACCAAACACGTCTAATTGCTTTTTAAAACCTATAAAAACATATGACACCAACAATATCTTTGAGTCCCACAGTCAGCCATGTACGATGTGAAAAATGGCATCCTTCTGCCTGTTATTAACTTCACAGCTGGTAAATTAGATAGCCCTGACTGTGGTACTGCAATTAACAGGAGTAAACAACTGCCCTTTTTTCACCATCTCCCTGCCACTCAGAATTTGATAGCCCTTCATCACTACCACCATCCTATCCTCTCTTTTCAAAGCCCAAGAACCCTAGGGTATTCAACTCCTCCTTTTTTTTATATTTCTATATGTACATTATTATATACTTTGACTGTATGAACAGCAGCATGCAAAAATTCCAGCCACTGCGGTGGGCTGCAGAGTAGGAATGCTGTTCACAAGAGTTTACTCTCACAAGCATTCCAGTCCTCCGAAAACATCACAATAAGAATATATAGTAAGCCATTAAAAGAGATGCAAAATCCGATTGTTAACTTTCAGGAAATGTATAGATTTCAGCCACATTCTGTGAAAACGAATTCCAGAAAACAACAGAATAACCCAGCTAGCTGTGTATCTCTTCTCTTTCCAGTCGGTCAAAGCTTTTACTTTTCAAACTGGCATTAAAATGTTAAAGTTCTGAAATAAGTGCACAAAGAGTTCCCATGTCCTCGGCATATTTTCCACTATTAATAAGACCCATCGAATTCAGAAGAAAAGGATTAACACCGGTATTGCAGCCAGGTAAAATAAAGCACATCTCAGTTAGTAGGAATGACAGAACCGGTGGGTTTTGTTTTGAAGTGTCCTGAAGCTGGAGTAATTAAAGCACAGCATGTAAGCAGAAGGGACAACCCTAAAGCTACCAAATCTGTCTGATTAACTTTTCTAATTAACTTCTAATGCTTTTATTAGATTAATTTCAAACAAGTCAAATTTACAGCTAAAAGGTTTTGGTAGCTCTTAACTATACAGCACTTGCTAACACAGGAATGCTGATCCACATTTCAAGCAGCAGCCTGACCCTGGACTATGAAAGAACCGGACACAGCCCCTTCTCCTAGCTCTGGACAAGGACACTAGACGCAGTACGCCCCAGAAGTTAAGAGGTTCATTTTGATTCTCTTCAGTGCTGCTCAGAACTGCAATGAAGTCTCTGCTCCCCGATACTCAAAGTATTTCCAGGACTCTAAAGAGAAGATACACAGGAAGGGCAAATGTGAACCCGGCAGAGTCAAAACGCTCTGCAGAGACCAGAATCCGGAAAGCTGAGCATCACCCTGCCATTCTGCAACAGCAAATAACTAGTTTCATCCACTTACCTAGAAATGCCAGTTGGTGCTTTGCTGAGCTCATACACACCAGGCTCGCTGAGGATGGAGAAAGGAAGAAGCGATCAGAGAACAAGAAATTAGCTTACACCGAGCAGCATGGACTAGAACTGCTGTAAGCCTGGACTAGGGGAAGTTTTCTTTAAAAAGGAAAAGAAAATAAAAGAAGAGAAGCAATAATGTTCTGGAGGTAGTCAGAGGTCAAAAGCAAGGGGTGCTGCAGAAGCAAATGGGTTTGCGTGCCCTTCCTGCCCCTCACTCTCATTTCACCAAAGGCTCAATACACAGCTGCGGCGATCTAGAGACAAGCAAACGAGGGGTGTCACAGGGAATCTAAAGGAGACGACCATCCAGGATGGTGTCCTGACCACTGGGTTTGCATTTATCGGCACACCGAGTAAGAAAATTCTACAAAGATCACAAAACCGCAGCAGATCTAATTTTCAAAACCTGCAACTTCACCATACACCACCACACCTTGACACACCTCATGCCAAACTTATTCTGAGCAGGTCCCCATTTCAACACAAAGGGTAAGGGATCTACAAACATCTGCCTTGGTGTGATACGATACGATACTATGACACTTCCTAGCAGCTACTTTTCTAACCTTCAAAGAAAGTGCTGCTTGAGCTGTCATACCAGCTATATTCCTAGAAAACAGTAAGTAATTTCCAGCATGGTTTACCCAGTGACTGATACAGGAAAATGTATGCTGCTAACCAAAGGAGAGGTATTTGCAGTTCTGTTGATCCAGAACATCCAACTGTTTGTTCTTCCTGGCTTATACAGCTACACCAAAGCCATAAACCTAGTTAACAGAGACTTGGACTCCCCTGATTATAAATTCAGTTCATGGTAAAACACCTCAAAGTCCGCGTTTTCTACTGAAACTTCTTCCAAAGGCATGGCAGTGGTCAATGGAGAAGGATATCTCTCTCAGCAGATTCCCACTGACCAACAAGACAGAAAAACTGTGCAGACAGTGAGGTCACCGGCATACTCACTCTATCACACCTGCCTCAGGAACTCTGCGCTCCACCTGAAAGGTGACAAGACAACACATGGCAGACATTAAACACAAGTACTGGACAGGCTCTAGTCAAACAGAACTATTTGCCACCTCTAGTGACTCTACACAGCTACACACCGCTGTCTCACTGAGAAAAACATACCTCTGGACAACTGGAGAGCATTAACAACACACCCTCTCTCTCCATGCCCCAGAAACTCTCAAACGCAGCTACCACTGCAGGCGGTTTTTAACAATCAACTGCCCCCTAACGGACATTCACTTCTAAACTATTTGGGTTATTCCACCATCCGCTCCTTATCAACTGCAACCAGAAAAATCTGTGCGTTACGCTTGGAAGGAAAAATCTACAGCAACTGTAGGAGTGATGAGCAAAACACAAGACAGACCAGACATAGCAGGAGCTGACACTTTTTTTTGTCTGCACAGCTCGAGGTAGCTGTTTTTTGTTAAAACTAAAACCAAAAAACCAAATGCAGTAGTTCGGTCCACCTCAGATTATGATTCTGGTTGTCTCAGGGATTTATGCATCTCTTCTCTGAGCACCGTGGAGTGCTGAGATGCAAGGAGATGCTGAGTTGAGCTATCAAGAGGGTCAAAATATAGTACTATATAGATACCAAGGCTCTGCCACAGGGAAAAGAGAATCTTTCCAAACCACCTCCAACCCCCTCAAGCCAAGAAGACAACCTTTCAAGAACTTTTGGCTTAGAAAAAAAAAAAAAGAGTTCAAGGTATTTTTTTTCTAAGCAAGGAACTGCCCCCCAACTGCACACAGCACCATATCCTCCATCTGCTGTTGGGGCATAAAGCAAAGTCTATAAAACAAGTACCAGGCTCTTCCCCTGTAACAAATAAGACAGATCTCCCAGCAGAGGGAAAAAACAGAGTTCAGATCATGCTTAGAACACCTCACCGTTCTGGATATTTGGGAGTACATATTATTGTGGCTCTCCAAAAAAAAGTAGTTATGAACAGGTACATAATCAATACTCAAAGTCTGAGGCTTAACAGAGGGACCATAAATGTAGGTCAGTTGCAAACTCTGCTTTGTAAAAGCCCGAAGTTCAGCCCAGCCGAGTTGATTTGGTTTTAAACAGAAGACTGTAACCTCAAAGTCTGATAACTTTTATTTTCTGAATTTTAATAAAAGATGAGATTCTGCTAGTTACTGTGTAATTTTTACCTCTGATGGCTTTTCAAAGACAAACTGCTTTTGAGTGTGAGGCCGATCTTTCTGCATCCATGCCAGTCTGGTGCCTGCAGAGGCAAGGTTGCTGGCCACAGGTGCCTTAGGTGCTAAAAGCAAAGAGGAAAGAAAAGGATCACAGGAAACGGCATTTCACCGTAGAAAAAATACAGTTTTGAAGAACTTATGGAATTATTCTTTGAGGTATTCTCCTCTGCTCGGCAGAGATGCCAGAAAAGAGAAATGGGGGCTTTGCTATTTTAATCAGGTGTTTTGACCACGTTCATTCAACTAACCAGTCCTTGTGAGGCGGGAAAGCCACACAGCCCCCTCCTACCTCTGCACTCCGTGCTTTAAATATCTGATACAAACAGCGACGTTAGCTCCAGCCCTTTCAACCAGCAAAAAGATAACACACGTAGTATGTTTTAAGAACAAGAAGTGACCAATTATTATTACAGAAGCTCCACCAAGAGCCAGGCGGCCGGTGCTGCGGCGGGTGCAGCCGGGGATAGGGCTGGCCAGCACCGGCCTCTCGGCAAGGCCGCGGTCCGGACACCCGCCC